CTTGAAATCTTGAAACTGCTGAAATCCTTGAAACTGTTGAATCCTTGAAACTGTTGAATCATTGAAACTGTAGAAATGTCTGAAAGAGCTGAAGTCCTATTAAAATGCATGGGCCTATTAAAATGCATTGCAGAATTCTCAATGCAGATTTTTGTCCGATTGCGGAAAAACCGGAAATCGCTGAAGTCCCAAAAGTAATAGCAATAATCTCCCAAACATGTGGAACGTTTTGATGTATAACTTGTGGAAATTGTTGAAAATGTGAAAGCTGTGAAACGTGTCAAAAAAAATGACGGAATAAAGAAATACAAAACCAATGGTTGACTGCGGAAGGTTCCGCAGTCAATCAATAATACATGATGTACTGATATGGATGTGTTAATTGACAAGCACAAGTTTTCCTTATCTTGTGGCCATTTATTAGTCATTATATATTGTGTTATTGTGAGTGAACATGCATCGGAGCATTGGGGCTGGTGGCCCACAGCACCTGAAACATATTAGACAGCTCTGCCACATTCCACAGTCCCTCTTTTACAGCCAGAGGGCATCATAAAGGACCAGTCTGAGTGGGCCGTGCAATTAAGACAGCACAGAGCAACATCAAGGACTCAAAATCCCACAATCCCATGTTTCAAAGCATGAATAAAATCATATCAACAGTATAACATCCAAGATTTATTATAAAGCCACAAAGCAAAAGCAATAACTCTGGAAAAGATCTATCCCTAAACTACAGGATAGAGTAGGTAATTTCAGATATACTGTAGGTCTTCACTACAAAGGTCAAAGGTAAATCAAAAAATCTAATATGATTGCTTTGGATATATAATAAAAAGTCTACACTGTATATGTGTTTGAGGATTGCCAATATTGTCTGAAGATCCTAGGTGGAAAAAAGAACTTCAACAAGAAGTGTAGATCCATAAAAATGGAAGGATACTTGAATTCTTAATCATTTGCGATCACATTATTCACACATGTATTCAATAGGGAGAATGCAAGGTCAAGAATCCTCCAGAACGAGCACTTTTGTTAGCATGAAAACTCTCTTTAATTGCACTCGAACGCCCGCAGAGATTGTACATATGTCCGAAAGCCACTGACAACATTCCCCGCTTTTAGATTATCAACAAACACATCTCGTTAAAAGACCTTAACAGTGAAAACTCTTTGCCAACCACGCAACTTTTATCAACTTTTTATTTTAATCAAACGCTTTGCCATCTGGACTTAAAACAGTACGACACCCAGTAGTGTGCCTTCCTTCACTCAACAACAACAAAACAAAACAAAAAGCAACAAAACCCACAAACACACGGAAGGCTCGTGCCAAAATTTACGGTTGCGTGATCTGCTGGGTGCGTATATGTTTTAGTGCTACCGAGGCCGTGTGTCTTTGGCCGCTCTTGAAGTCCATTGCCGCGCGTTATGCTCACTGGGTATAACTCTATGGGCGTCGGTAGCCTCTTCTCTGGCCGCCCGTGTCCATTTGCTCGGCGGGTATGGCAGGCCCGAGCAGACAGATGGCCGACCTCACCCCCCCCTCTCTCTCTCTTTCTATCTCTCTGCCTCTCAGCCTTGCTCTCTCTTCTCCCCATAACTGGTTTTTCCTCTGCCGTTGACCTTGCCACCACCAGCCAGCAATCCGAGCCTGGCAGCGGGCCGCTTCGAACAGGAGGGTAATGGTGTCCAGCGCTGCTCACATGATTATTAAGGCCCTGACGCCGGGGGGCCCTTTCAGAAGACGTTTCGGCCCCCAACTAGCCTACGACTGCCCGCTCGCCTCCTCCCGTGTTGGTCGTTTTTGGGAAAAAGTTTGGACGATGACAGTAATTTAGAAAACTATAAAGAGAGAGGAAACTTTTTGCAGACATGTTGTTTGTGTTCTAAATCAAATATGAGAACAGTGCAGAGTAAATATTTGGAATTGATTAATCTCTGAGCGCATCCAGATTACTTTATAGTAGGATTGTGGAGGAATCTCATCTGCAGTGGGGGTGGAAACTGTACTAAAAGAGCTAATTTCACAGAAGTTAGTGCATAAGTTAGCTAGTGCAAGTGCAGGTCAACATTTGAATTAAAAGTAATTTAAATGCATTGAAATAGTCTCAAATGAACACTACATCTCCGTCTACATCTGCTATGTAGAGTGTACTTAGCATGTGACAGAAGACTTGTGTCCACGCGTGCATGACATTCTTCAAATAGAACAGGCGCGAGCTCCACTACGCTAACTTAGATCAGATCTGTCACAGCGGGATTGATGCAGACAGCCACTACCACTCCGTTCGAGAAATCCTTCCCTCTTGAGTATACTTCCCTCAACTAATACAGGCTGTCTAGGGAATTATCTGTGGCTCAAAATTATAATTGAAGTAAAAACGTCAATCCTAAGATTACGTGATACAACCTTTCTGTCACAAATTCATGCCATACCTATCCAACTATTCCACTTTTCACTTGCCCACATGCTGCTATGAATGGATCCAAGTGAAGCAAAACTCAAGAGGTTTTTTTTTTACAATGAAAGGTAATATGAATGTTTTGAATTACACACTCTACATACTGTAGTTCTAATCAACCTGAAAAATGTCATATTCATTAGGTGACAATCAAAAGGATGAAATAATGATTCATAAATTACAACTGCAGAACTCCACCAAGGACCACAGAGGTCAGAAAGTCTTAACACCACAAGTTTCATCGGGAGTGCCAATAATAGCGGAGGACCCTGTCTCGGTGCATGCTCTGTGGACAGTTGGAGTGTATGGGATGCTGCTTTGACCTTTTCTAAGCCAGGACTGTCTGTTTGCACTTTTGCCATCAGCTCCCCTATGGACTCACTGCTAAGCAACCCCATCAAACCAGGGGGTGACAGTGCACCCTGGGCTCCAGTGACACCCAAGGGATAACGGGGAGGGGGACTATTGCAGAGGTTAATTCTGAACATCCAGTATTTATGGGCTTTGCTTCAGAACAAGGGTTGGCATTAACACTCTAAAGGAGATATATCAATAAAAGATGGCCCCAGCGCAGGGAGAGCACCTTTATGCAGGTCTGCACTCAGCATAGGAGGGCTACGGCTCGTCGACTGAATTCAGTTTCCAAGTCCTAATAGGGATTGTGTTACCATATGTTATCCTATTAGGTGGTCCAACCTATACGTCTTAAAAGATAAGTTTGATCCTGGAAGGTTTTTTTTGTATGCAACACTGATGTTACGACTTCTCTGAGAAGAGTGAGTTCATTTGTTATGGTATTTGAAAGAAATATTGAAACTGAAGAAACAAATTTTGATGGATATTAAGATGTGGCACTCTTTAAAAAGTTATTCAGTAAACCATACCTCTAACAAACCTACTCAAAACCTTTGCCATTTCCTTTCTTACAAACAAATATGTCTATGGTAGAGTATGTCATTTTGACTGTGGGATATTTGAATGCACATTTGACTTTCACATCTCATTATTGTGTTTTGATTTTAATAATATACCCACACAAACAAGATGTGTTTATTTTACAATAAAAGCCCTCCTCTGATCCCTCCCTACCATTTTTCAAAGTCAAATCCCAAGAGCTGCTCAGTTAGGGGGCCCCTGAGCCTCTGTATCGCCATGGAGACATCAACCCTGAGATTGCGATGCAGTGCAAGGCCCGGTGCGAGTCTGGAGCTCCCAGAGTTTGTCCAAACAGCCTGTATGAACTGAGAGCATCAGATATTTTCTAGTTCTGCTCACATGTTGGCCCAGCCTGTGAGGTGTGGGGAAATGTCAGAAAAATCGATAGATAAGGACCACATCACACCGAGCTTGTCTGGCCTAGCAACAGAGCATCCCCATGGTGATGTCAATTACCTTCTGCTTTACAACAAAAAAACACCAGGAAGAGCATAACAGTCTCTGCAATGCTGTAAAACTTTTAATGCAGTCTCCTGGTTATGGTAAGACGTTTGTAGAGGAACTTTTTTTGTTCAAACCGTACAGGCAGGAATGTGTGATTGCGTCAATATCTCCCTTCCCCCGTTTTCTCATCCTCTTCATGGGTGCTACATCAGTCAGAGAAAGGTACAATGTAACAAGCTGTAAGGCGCACATAATTGCATATTAGCAGCTACACACTTAGCTGCATGGGGAGGTGGCTGCTCTAACAAAAAATAAAGGCGTTATTAATCACCAATTAATGCAAGCCAGCAGATCTCACACTCTGAATATGGTTACGTTTAGATTGCTTTGTTCCAACTGTATTTTCAGACCATGTTTATTTGCTAAAATGATCCTGTTGTGATCCGGTCTCGCAGGAGTGATAAGAAAAGTGTTAGAAGATTACATGTGTATGCATTCTCTTTGAATGAATTATGGGGTAATCCAGAGTCATCCATGCCTTTATCAGAAAACAAAAGTAAGGGACTAATTAAGTAAGTCCTCTTTATTTCACATATTTTGGGCACACAAAGCGGTCTTCCATTTGATGCAATTTTCATTCACTCACTTAGGGATGACAGAAGTGGTACACCAAACCATCCAACCATCACCAAACATCCTGTACATGTTTTAGGGGTATAGGAAACCGGTGCAGACATAGGGAGAACTGGGCAAGACAGGGAGGACTAATCACAATATATTCATCATAAGAAATAAAAGATTAAGTTTAATAAATGTATTGTTTAGCCTCTGGGGCTATACACAATACTGCATGCATTAGCAAGAGGAGACAAGACATCATGTGTCAAACAAAACATGAAATAAAACTGAGCTATAAGCCATGAATCTCTGCCATGACACATTGCGTTACTTTTGTCCTCAGAAGAACTTGATCTCAGAGATAAGTGTTTGCACAGTAATTTATAACTCAAAGGAGAAGATACAAGAGAGTCAGAGCAGAGCAAAGATGAAACAGAGAAACATGGGAGAGGAGCAGTGAAGGGAGTCAAAGGAGGCTGTAGAGTGAATGGCGAGAATGAGGATAGAGGAGAGCTAAAGGCCTCTCTCTGCTGCAGCCTAGTAACAGCCCACAGTGGCAGCTTCACACAGAGCGGCCAGCTGTACAGCAAATGTGCCTTTCCCTCTTCGCCCCCGAACCTTTGCACCCCTCCAGTGCCCCCCCCCTGCCCGGGCCGCCCGGGCCACTGGCTCCTCTCTGAGATAGAAGGCTCCTCCCTGATTTGGCTTCAAGCTCAGTGCTGTCACCAGCCCAAAAATCTGTAGAGGTGACCCTCCACAACACTTTTGTGGGAGTGGTCTGGTTTGTTTGTGACTGTCCTTCTGAGTACTACCACCTTGGATCTGAACTGTTTGGAATGGAATGGAGAGAGAGTAAATTGGATTGAAAGCAGATATAACTGAAAGGCAAATATTCTTTTCACCTTTTAAAGCTTTTAAGACAGTGGCCTTGCAACCAAACATGCCGGGTCTGTGACAAATCTACACAGGGACATTTGAAACAGAGCGATAAATGGGCCACACACACCCCCCATGAGGATCCAAATGTCAGAGTTTACAGTGGGGTCAGAGTGAAGCCATGGGGCAGCGGGCGGCCTGCTGATAAAACCAAACAGGCTTTTGTGTCAATGAAAGACCTTCAAAGGTCCTCTCAAAACAGCCCACTTTGTGAGAGCATGCGCTTGTAAATATTGTGTCCTTTCCAATTACTATGAGCGTCAGCGCAAATGGACAAACCTGATTTTCATTTCAAATACAATTTTCAAACAGTAGACTGCAGCAGCTGAATATTGTATATATCTGTGCATCTCCAGAGAAACATCAGACACCCTCAATTCTGTAAGTGTGCCATGCCAAAAAAACTCTAAACTAAAGAGAGGCCAGCTGTCTTCTGGCCTGCTATTAAATTGCTCCTTGGATGGTGGTGATATCATTTTTTCTCCATAGGAGGATCACACCAGGTCCCCAAACAGAGCGACCAGCTGTACAGCAAATGTGGACTGATCCATCTGGGCCCTCGCAGGCTGCGGCCTCCATCTTAAGACACGTGGGGCCATTCTGAGGCTGGCCCACCTCCACACCCGCCCGCACCCATGGCCTTCTCCATCTCTGCTCTTTCATTTAGCTCCATTATCACAAGAAATGTGGAGGAACAGGGCACAGAGCTGCACTTTCTGTGGGCACATGGGCCGTCCTCATCACAGTGTAATATCCATGCATCACAATGTGCTGGCAGTCAGACAGGAGTGGCGGTCTGAGCACTCATGCCCAACGGGAGCTGCTCGGGGGGCGGCTGAGTGCACTCGCTGAAGGGCCACTATTGTATTACCAAAGGCAGCTAATATGGACTTGTCTGGGTGATCAGGCTCAGGTTTTGTTGTTCCATACACTTAGCACTATGGTTATGTCACGCCACATCACTATATATAGAGTTATCAGAGTGAGCTGACACCATGGAGAGGGGCATGGATGAAAACAACACCCCTATGATTCCAGCGTCTGCTCCATTACCTACGCTAATAACGCTGACAGCTGAGCGAGATGACCCCAGCCCTGTCTCCCACTCCTGTGCAGATGGCCATTAAAAGGAGAAAGTGTCCCTTTTCCAGTACAGAACGTATTTAGCAATTTCCCCAATTACCTTATTTCTATGATTTGTCCCAAAATGAGCTGGTAATCCAAAGTACCCCTGTCTACATTTACCACAGCACATACACTGAATATTTCTTATCTCTCTTTGCTTTCCTTTCATTTTGTTGCATCCACCAAAGATATTACCTCCCTACCACGATTCCATCACAATGACTTGCGAATCCTCTACTTTTTACACATTGGAAAACAAACTCATGCACCAGAAACACTTTTGAGATGGCAGATGAAAGCCGTGATCATGTTGAATACAAAGCTGCGGCATATCAGAGTAGTAAGACATCAGACAATAACCCAATCACCTATCCCCCTGTTTTCTTAAGCTGCCCGAATTCCACTATTACGAGGCAACTGCGAGCGTGCACGGTTGAAAGACATAAAATAAGCAGTAGGGGTGTTTGTTTTCGACCCTCCCAGTGAGCCTCCGTGCCTGCCTTTGCTAGAGAAAGGACTAATGCCGGTGTGCTACTGTATTAGGCACCCCCAGTAGAATAGTGGGTGAGCAGATCTCAAAGATGAATACAAAACACACACCTACACACCCGCAGCGATGTCTCTCCCCCCTCCCTCCCTTCTCTTTTGCAAATACGGCACGGCATCAGAAATCACAAATCACATGCCTCTGATTGTTTATGCACAAACAGTGGGTCCCTGATAGAATTGCCCGGCGCGTTTTAAAATTCACCTGCGCCCAGAAGCGTGTCCCGAACGCGGAGGCGGCTTGGTTCCAGATCAATGAGTCGCTCTTTCCCGCCGAAGACAACAGATAATGCAGTGTAATGAAAGATCCGCCAAACGAGCTGAATAAATGAATGAATAGAGGAATGTGAGAGAGGAGTTTCAGACACACACTAACTGCGGGCAAAAAAGAGCTTTTCCAATTGTCTTTTTCTCTCCTCAAATGATTCAGCCTGCATACCAATCACAAGCAACTGGAGGTCTTTCAATTTAGTATGGCTGTCGTACAATGTAGGCAATTTTATAGTGAAAATAGTCAGGTCAATTTGATCGGATGTCGCCAATAGTTTCTGGAGTCAGTAAATGTTTAGATATAGAAAATAAGAATGTTGCGAGCAAAAAATTCAAAAGCTGCACGCAATCATAAAGAAAAGGTGAAGAGTGTGAAGTGTGTCAAGAGATGTCCTTTACAGCAGCGTATTATTCTACTTCACCAGACCATGATGGAAAAGAAGTAAAGCAGTGTCCTACCCAGCATGTGGTTTGCCACGTGAACCTGGATGTCCCATTCACTGTAGAACACCATCTGACATTTGATGCACTGGTAGGTCTTCTTCTGAAAATAACACACAATTATCATTATCACAACATTTGAAAGATATAAATACATATATAATGATGGAAACCCCCTGAGATACAGCATCTTATTCTTGTGAGGGTAAAATAGAATAGATGAATACATTATTACTTTGATTATTGATTAAACTGCCAATTTATTTTTATATATTTTTTTATCATGCCTCTCTTTGAGATACCAAACATTATCCATGCAGTAAATCCAGCATAAAAAATATACAGTTTAATAAAGTGATTTCAACATTACCTCCTCAGTTTGTGAGGGGCTGGTCCTTGGCATGGGGGACACTTGAGGGGTCTTGAGCTGTCCACTGTTGCTGTCCCCGGTCTGCTCTCGATGCACGGTCTGCACATGGTTCTGCAGCTCGGCCTCACACTCAAACTTCACATTGCAGCTGGAACATCGCGTCTTCCCCGCAGATAAGGAGGATATGGATGAAGATGAAGAGGCTGAAGAGGCCACTTTCCCTTTGCCATCAGCAGGACTGAGGCGCTCTCCTTGGATCCAGGCAGCTGTGGGTGCAGGAGTAGAGGTGCCTCCCTGCTGTGAAGGTTGCCTTCCGCCATTCACTGTTGGACTGGAGCTTTTGGAACCAGCAGCCAACACACAGGATGCACAGAGTCCATATGGTAGTCCATTAATGTCCAGCTTCACCAAGTCCTGCTTGGAACGGAAGTCCTTCAAACAAGAAGCACACTTGAAAGGCTTTTGGGAGTGGTGTAACTGCTGGTTGTGTGAGATGGTGTTACGGCCAACAGGGTGATTGCTTGTCATGGTACCCGTTTTCTGCATGTGGAAGGTCCCATGGATTTTCAGCTCCAGTGTTGACGTGACTGTCTGCATACAAACTACACACCGGAAACCTGTCAGGGAGTTTCTCAGGTCAGGATGCATCTGGCAGTGCTCTAAGAAGTCTTCCTCACACTGCAGAGGCATCTTACAAATGCGACAGCTCCCCGTATCCAGGCTCTTGCTATGTGTGACTTTATGCTCTGTGAGGGTGAGCAGCGATGGGAACCGCTCACCACAGATGGGACACATGTAATGTTTGACTGGCCCAAGATGGGTCTGCATGTGCTCCCTGAGCCCAGCTTCAGAAAAGAAAGTGCGGGAGCAGACATTACACTTGTGGTTACCCTTTATCATGTCAGCTTTACGTTTCATCATGGCACTCTCACCAGGGCGGATGTTGTGGTCCCTCAACTGGTGGTTAGTGAGGAGCGACTCCATGGTGTAAGACGCACCACAGATATCACAGCTATACATAGGTTCTGCTGTGTCCACCTCTTCTTCACTGCCATCATGGTTGTTCGGAGATGGCACAATGGATGTCACTGCAGCATTCTGCCCATGGCTGTTAGTCAAAAGACCTTGTAGCTCTGCATCTTCTTTGGGTTGATTCTCTCCGCCACTCAGAGCCGAACCATTGGCACCACAGTTCTGCGACTTTCCCTCAAACACGCAATGCTTCTCCCTTAGATGCTTTTCCAAAAGTACAATTGCATGGAAAGCCTTACTGCAAAAACGGCAGTTGTATTTCTTGCTGTGGGTGGTGATGTGGCACTGAAGCTCGACTTCGGTTCCAAAAGACTCACCACAGAAGATGCACCGGTGGGCGCGGCCTTGATTTTCAAGATGGCTATGTTTGACGTGAAGCTGAAGATCCGTTTCGTGTCTGAAGTCCCAGTTGCAAGAGGTGCAGCGGTATACTTTTTTCTCATTGCTGTGCTTGACTGCCAAATGCAACTGGGTGGAAACCTTTGAATCAAAAACTTCCTGGCAGAGAGTACAACGGAAAAAAACAAAAGTGTGCATGTCTAGGAGGTGCTTCTGCAGGTCATCTACTGAAGTGAACTGCTTATCACAGCTCTCACATATGTAATACGTGGAGGTAATTGTAAAGTGAATTGTCACATGCTTTAACAGAGACTCCTGGTTGGGGAACTCTTTGTTACATTGAGGGCATGTGAGTTGAGGTTGTAAACCGTCAAGGTGTGTTTTAAGGTGGGTTTGGAAAAGATCTAGGTTGTTATACTTAGCACCACATTGATTACAAATAAATTCATTGCTGTTAGCACGAGAGGAGCTGCTCTGCTTCAAGATTGCAGCTTGTTCCACAGATATAGGAGATGATGGACTGAGGGTACGGAATGATTTCTTTCCATTGTTGATGTAATTGAGGGCCAAAGGAATGTTCTTGTGGTTCTCCTTGATGTGCTTATTCAGTTTGAGCACACTGTTGAATATGGGAGAATTGGTGCAGTATGAGCAAGAATAGACCTCAACAATGGGTTCTTTGGGCGTGACGGCAAGCGGGGAGTCGAATCTCAAGCTTCCACCATCACAGTGGGTCTGACGAACATGTTCCTCCAATGTGGTCTCGGTTAAGAAGCCCATGAAGCACTGTGGGCAAAAGAAGGCGTTGCTCTCCTTCGCCACAGGACTAGGGAATCCATGGGAGCAGCGGATATGTTCTTGGAGACCGTTGAGATCTCCCAGCACCTCAGGGCAGAAGTTGCACTGAAGAAGGGCATCGGGTAAGCTCGCCAACAGTGCTGCGTGGTCCTCTGCATTATGGACCTGCTTCAGATGTTCATTGAGATTCATTAATGATGGCAGGACTTCGAGGCAAAACTGGCAAGTATGTGCCTGTTCTGGTTTGTCAAGGTGCATGGTCCGAAGGTGGATTTGAAGAACTGCTAAGCTTGAGAAAACTTGCTTGTTGCAGTAGATGCAGCTGTAGGATACTTTGGGTTGTTTGGAGGGTCGTCCTCCATGGTCTGCATTCTGAGTTGTTCGCTTCCTCCTGCCCCGTGTTTTGGGGACAGGGGGTGCTGTCTCCACCATTGTCGAGCTGTCAACTGAGAGGTTAGAGTCTGGGGTGGTGCTGGAGACTGAGGTGTAGCCCACTGTGAGTAAAGATGGGCTGTTGCTGTGATTGCTGGACTCCGGCAGCTGGTGGATGTCCATGTGGGCATAAAGGTCTTCCACAGAGTCAAAGTGCTCCGAGCAAATGGTGCAGGTGTGACCTTTCCTGTCCCGGCTGTGGGCCTGGTCTATGTGAGTCAGAAGGGTGCCCTCATCACTAAAGGGTTCATGGCAGTAGATGCACTGCAGGGTGGCACCAAGACCCCCATCCTCTGAGGGTGAGCACTCTGGATGGCACTCTGCGATATGCCTCTGGAGTTCTTCCGGTACATCAAAACCTTCTTCACAACGGCTGCATTTTCGTGTTTCTTTCAGTTTCCAATCATCGGCTCTGCCATCTTTTCCTCGTTCGTGGACCTGCATGTGTCCGTGGAGAGAGCTCGAGGAGAGGAACCCTCGCCTGCACACCGGGCACTTGTGGGGTTTGTTGGATGCGTGCGTTTTCATGTGGATTTTGAGGTGATCGCTGCGAGAGAAGGCAGAGTCACACTCACCGCAGTGGTACTTTTTGTCACCTGTGTGGAGCTTGACGTGGCGGTCTCTACTGCGCTTGTGCTTGAAGAGACGGCTGCAGAAGGTACAGCTGAAGGGAAGCTTGTCGCCGTGACTTTGCTCGTGACGTTTGAGGAAGCTCAGACGGCTGAAGGATTTATCACAAAACTGGCAAGGATACGGCAGGCCTGGTACTCCTTCCTCTTCACCAAAATCATAGTCCTCACAGTGTCCTGGAGAAGTCTGGTCCTTACTGGAGGGTGAGGATGCAGGCCAGGAACATGATGGGTCGTCCTCAAGGTCAACACCGTCTGGAAACAGAAATAGAAAGAGATCAATAAAACAGCGAAACTTTGCTAACAACAGTTTTGCTTATCCCACAGTGACAGAAGTATGGGCAGTGACTCAAAAACATACACTATTGGTATATTTGGTAAATGGTAAAATTGGTAGGGATGCTCTGATCCAGCTTTTTCAGGTGTGATCTACCTATACTCGATAAGAACCGATACCAGTGAGGGAACCATTGTAGATTTTATTCTTCTCCGCTCAAAACACAGTCAACTTATTACAACATGGGATATTTTGTGTAATGTAATGCAGAAAGGCTTCGACTAAAATCTGAAACTCAATGACAGCTGGTAAAAAAAATAGTCTTTCAGTTTCAACAATTTAGTCTAGATTGGAGCATTTTACAACTATCCATTAGGAGCACATACAAAGGGCACACACCATCACTGAACGCAGTGATGGTTTGGACAATTTTGCAGGAGATTTGTTTTGTTTAGGTGCAACAAGTAGTAGTACCACAGACTGTAAATATTTTAGTAGTACATTATATTATAGTTACAAAAACATCCAAACTAAATGAAAAGGTGCAGATTACAGACGCTGCTTTGTAATACTGAATAAGCAACTCATTTGTCTCATTCTCTTGAATAGAAAAGGGGGGCCACCAGTGATTTATTTGTCATGGCAATTATAAAGTGAGTGGTATGAATTAAGTGTTGAGAACTCAGACAATTTTTTCTTCCTTTTTTCTCCAGCGGAAACAATGTCTCTCCTTAGGAGTTATCTAAAAAGTTACATTTAAATATGCAATTTGAAGTATAATTAGAGAAGAGAATGAGTGGAAATACTTTTACAACAATTAACCTTGTATGTGGCCGCGTAATGGCTTAGCCCACTGTGACTCAAAACACAATCTCTCTGACATTTAAAGCCAGTGCCAGACAATGGGTGCACTTTAGAATGTAGAGCCTGCATGAGGTAAATTAGAACATTTCTATTATTCAGAAACAATTGCTAAATTATTATTATTTTTAATATTAGCCCTTTGAATGACCTAAAAACTAACACAAGTAAGCAACATTCTACAGTTAGGGAAAAGAAAAACATGCAATCTAGTATGAAACATGTGGAAAGTCATTTTGGTTAGTATTCAGTATATCACATTATGCCGATTGTGTTATTATCCTATTTATCAGTGTGGTCGCCGTGAGCCATCCAATACTTGATGGATGGGCATGTCATGTGATATGCGGGAACAAGGAAGTATGGGAGGAAACAGATAGGGAAAAGTGAATGAGTGGTTAATAGTATCTCCCAAGGACAAGCAGGTGTCCAAAATATGTTCAGACAGAACAGGCTATAAGAACATGTGTTTAATGTGTCCCTATTCAACAGACTTGACATTCCTTTCCACTGTTATGAATGGAACACACGCTTTCCACAAGGTTCACAAGGTTACCGACCATATCTTCCCCTCTCTGACACATTCTAAGTACCTCAAACTTCCTAACCTAAATAAAACTGTGGAGTCTCAACTCAGCAAGAGTAAAAATATGTCAAAAGGCCACAACTTTGGAATGGGAAAAACAAGAGGAAGTTGCCGAGATTTACGAGAGGGACAAAGGAAAAGCACACGCTCCTTCCAAGATCCAACCACTCTATATTCTTCTCTGGTTGACAAGTCCAGGCCTCCCCTCTCCATCTCCATCCCTCTCTCTCTTTCTCTTGCGGTTGTTTTTGCAAGGAGATCTGCCCTTTGTCAGGATATCATGCCCTTGCGGAGCACTTACCCCCATCAGGGCCTATCTTCAGGAAACAGATGGGGTCGGAGGCCATTCCTTTGCCCCTCCAAACTGCTGAAAGCGGCACATCGAGAGCCCACCTCCATACCGCGACCCTCCCGGAAACCTCCCACCCTTGGCAAGGTGCCCACTGTGCGCATACACAGTCAAGGAGCACAAAAACACAGTTGATAATAGTTCTTTCTCTTAATCTACAATGTTTTCACAGTGTTTGGTGGTGGTTGGAGGGAGGTTGGGTGACTCAGTGCTATGCCCTCCTCCACAGAGGGGGTGGATAGCCTCTCCAGCGCAGCACTCCCAGGATATAGAGAGGAGAAGACAGTGCAAGAGAAAAATGACCCCGGCCAATGCCTCACAGTAAAACACATTGGCTTGGAGACAATAGTGAAGCAAACAAATAAATGGACTTGTATACATGGCTAAATTAAATTCTACATAAATGAACGTGTCTTAGCCCTCAGACATTTCGATGCTGTCAGTGCATCAATCTTTTCAGTGCTTATGCTTCTTGAGATGTATGATATTCATTAACTTTACTTTTATAAGATGAGTGGCAAAGTAAATATGAACATATTCAAAACAAATCTGTGGAATAAGTCTAAACGTCTATTGAAAGTGTTATACAGAACTGATGGTGACATCATGGATCCAAAGTGAAGTTTGAAACATAAGTCTAAAGAGGGAGGAAAGTGAACCATTTCACATCTGGTTTGTATCATGTAATGTTGACTATGACTGACAATGTCTCTCATAGAAACTGCTGCTCTTGTGGTATCCACAGCACAGAGCTAAACCTACACACACATACATGAGGCTAGAACACAGACACTAGTGCAATGTGTGAACAACTGCAGATGAAAGAGCAATCTTCCTCTAGAGACCTGAGGAGGAAAGAGAGAGACTTGTTTTTTTCCTTCTACACCCAGACGAGAAGTGACCGGGCCCAGGCAGCAGCCTGAGTAAATAAAAGAGGGCCTTACTTCCCGGTCCCCGGGGCTGCAGGCCTATGCACGCCAGCGCTCTGTGTGCCGCTGCCAAAGGGGATGCTGGGGCCTGAAAAACTACACCCCGCAGCTGAAGGGCTGTCTTTGTTGGTTTGCCAAGGCCTTCCTGAGCATCCTCCAGCCAACAGCCTGTCCCGTCCTGGGAGGAAGACCTCCATCTTAAGGCCTGTCCCTGCCCCTGCTTCTCTTTTAAATGTCTCCTATGGAACACAACAAGTCAGCACAGAGCTCCTATGGTCCGGAGCAAATGTCCACCTCAGCGCCAGCAGTCGCTCTTCAAAGCCGGCTGCAGCAGCATTAAGAATGTAAACACGCCTCACCTGAACATGGAAGTCATGAAGTGTTATTCCAGCGTTCCGCTCCTCCAGTCTGAGCCACACTTCCTCTACCCATTCCATTTATAGCTCATTTTCCCAGAGTAAATATCACTGCTCAAATAAAGAGCTAATGCTGGGAACAGGTAACTTTATTATTTGTGTACACACCCCACATCCACAAGACCTCCACACTGTTCACATTCATAATTACTATACTGAACATTTAACGAGAAAAATATATTTCAGGAGCAACTCATTAATTTTACAGACGCCACTGTTTCCCTTAGGACAAGACTGCATATGGTGGCATGTTTTGTGTTTTAATACTAGATAAAACTAGTTGCCAAAACCCGGCACAAACAAAGAAGTTGAACACAGACTGGGCTCATGAATTGAACAATACAAACATTTCCCTATCTTTTGATTCTCTGTAATGTTTGGTATGTATTTTTGACAGCCACCTTTGCTATTGCACTGGACTCACTTCTGTTCTGGCTTATCACTCCCTCCCAGCTTCAGTACATTTTTCCGATTCCAGATGCCAAACTGTTATCCTGCTCCAATACCTTATCTTATCACAAAGTCAGTCTAAAATCACTTATCGGCCACACTCGGAGAAGACATAACTTTGTTCGAAAGCCATGGCTCCTACCATCTCCGGTGCCAATGCCACTTCTGATATGAGTGTTTTGGAGATCTGTGGTTGCTTTAAGCTTGTGTGTGGCGGTGTTATTTGCGTAGCTTTGGGGACTGGGGATTCATTGAATAAACAAAAAGCTGACAACTTGTCTGATGTAGCACCCTGACCTCCACTTCATATTCATGGCGAGGATCTTTTTACACTTAGAGGGAGAAGTAGTCAGGCTGGTCCCAGGAGGAGATGAGCGCCTGCTTTTTTGTTCCCCGTTTCTGATGCCCAAATAGAAACAACATGCTCGCACGTGCGGCTGATTCATGTGACACAAGCGCTTAGGATGTTGTTGCTTTTGAATTTACAAATCTAAATTGATGGTTGAATATGTACAAAAAAAGTCTCATTATAATAGATCTAATAGAACAGTTTCTTTGTATTACACCAAATAGTCTTGTTTATTTTGTGTGAATGTATGAACAAAATAAATCTAAAAATGTGCATTCAAGAATATGAAAGGAATTGAATATTAAAAGTGACATGAAAACTTGATTAAACGCAAGATTTATGTTAATGAATATAATGTGTAAGACTCTAGCAAAGCATCAACATCTATAGACAATAAAAGGTTATATAGTGATGTAGTCATTTCATAAATATAATAAATGGTGTATTATATATTTTTAAATTGTAGAAACATTAACCATATTTTAAAAATCAAATTTAACCAATTTCCTCAGTTGTGTCTGAATGTTCTCTCTCTGCTTATAGTGGCCTACCTGACTTACTCACCCAGGTCAAACCCTCTCAATGGCTTGTTTATTTCTAGACTGATCTGTTCTAGCAGTAACTGAGTTGAAAAAAATATGATATTACGGTATAATACCATTTGCTGTTATATTGCAGCAGTGACGATTCTATTGGAAAAGGTCCATCAACGGCTTTACACACAGAAGTCCTGTTTAAAGACCAGACATCCGGTCAAAATGAAACACTGATAATTCCCACGCGGCTGCCAACAGAATGCCAGGTGGCGGGACATGCGTTATCCCTCCAATTTTGAGATATATTACTGCTTGACTATTGCATACCGCACCAACATCATAGCGAGTGTGTGAGGCGACTACTTTTATTTTTTCTAAGCAAACACAATATGTTTTTTACACATCACTGAGAAATGTCAGGTCCCACTCCCCCTTTGCAACAGATCAATCACAGCATTCGGAGAGGAGAGCAGAAAGGAGGGGGATAAAATAAAGATTCACT